ACAAGTTTTTTTCTTGCCTCTATATTCAATAAAATACAAATACATTCTTTTCTCTAAAATATGTTTACGTATAATCAAAGTAGAACATGCAAATTACACATTAAAAAAGGCTTTTGAAAACCACTTATGAATGCAAACTAAAAATTAGCCAGCACAACTTATAGAACAATCTTGTGCTCCATTTGTTTGATTTTTAAAATTTTTTTTAAATACAGTATATACATATTTAATATTTCATGTGCATTTATTATTTAAGAAATAGCTTAAAAAATAAAGAAAAAGAAAAGTAAACCAAACCAACATGGGATTGAACTGCTTTTCCATGTTGTCCAATTGGCAGTTCATGTTTTTGGGTTTTTTTCTTTTTCTTTTTTTTTTCCTATGTAGTGTTTTATACAACCTAGGCAGGAATCTTAAGGGGATCTCAAATATGTGTCCTTTGTTGAAATGTGCTTCTAATTAGAACTGCTGCACCCCAATTTTGGGATGATATGGAAGGAAGAGGCATTGCAAGGACAAGATGCTTATTTTCTCAATTCAGAAAATCATCATGTTTTGGTTTTGTTGGGTTTTTTTTCTTTTTCCTGTCTTTTTTTGTTGTTCTTTTAACTCTTCAGGATGCTCCATAAATATGTTTAAGTGCAGTCCTGAATCAGGACTTGTGAAAATAAGAGTTGAGGAAATCCTTTGTATGTAACAGCAATTCCTGTGTATTCAGCGTATTACTATAGTGCTCAGAACCCCTAGTGATGAACCAGCACCTCATTGCACCAGATGCTATCAGAAAATGTAACAACACAAACACAATATTCTACACAAATGGTCCAAAGCATTGCATGGGGCATGCTGTAGGATACTCAAGTAGATGACGACTACTATAAATTATTTTTTTTCTTTTTCCTAATGTTTGGTTGGGATTTTTTTGACAGTTACCCATAAATATGTAAGGTGCTTCACAGAAAACTTAATATTGAAGGGCTCAAGAAACTGGCAGTATGAAGGCCTTGGAGACACGAGTGGTTGTGGTTTTTTTCCTCTCTCCCTGCATGCTCATCTCCATTCCTGGTTTTACACTGCGTTGAGGAATACAAGACCCATGGAAAGGATGCAAACCCATGGCCTCATTTCATATGGCTCACAGCCATGTGATTTTGTTTTGCATTTTTATTGAAGCATGCTAAGACGTGTGCTAATCTGTGACACCCTGGAGGTTTTTGAAAGGTCTTTTTGGTTTTAACAAGCAAAAGGGCTTCCACCCCAGTTTTATACAGTTCTCAGAAATATGTGCAGATAATTTAGACAGTTTTTCAGGAAATCTTCCTAGAGATGTGTGTGTGTGGGAAATCAAAAAGCTCATTACTCGGATATTGTTGGGTAATAAACTGAAGGAGTGGGATTTTAGCCTTAAACCCTAAAACTAAATCCTTTATGATCTACATGTAGTACATTGCCTTATAATATTATTCTGTCAGCAACTTGCTTATCATCTTTATAGACTATGCAACATGCAGAACACAAATTCTGAGTGCCATCTAACAGCATTTTCAGTCTGCTTTATACACATTAACAAACTAATCTTCCTGTCAACCCAGGACTGGCTGCACCAGGCTGTTGTTTGGACAAACAGCCAAGACTGTATTTCAGCACCGCATTCTGCCAACACCTTCTTGCCATGAAAAACAAACCTTGGGCATCCGGATAGAGCCCAACCTATGCTGACAGCTTGCAGCTACCAAGTTTTGAATGCTGCTCTTAGTTTCTTTAGGATGAAAAGGACCTTTTAATTTTTTTGCTCAGTGAAGGGTCTATGGGGTTGTACCCTCTGAGTGGATGCTCTCCTTAAGCACTGTGCCTCTAGCAGCACTTTGGATAGCACTTTTTGGAAGGGTAAGAGCATTTTTTTCCCAAAGCCTGGGAGCATGGGAGGCAGCAGGCACTCAATTATCTTTCCTTGGGGGAGGTTGCATCCCAGTGCATCCAGAAATGTCCAGCCCAAATACAGCCCTTATCAGTACTCTGTAAGGTCTGACATGTCTTGAAGCCACAATGGGCATTTAATGAAAGAATTTGGTCCTTCCATACCTTTGCTCCATTCACTACACATTGAAATGTGTAATAAAGAGATCACTGAAAATAAAACTAAGGATAAATTGTTGTCTAGATTAGTTTCAGCTACCTGGAATACCAAACTTGCAGTTTTTCTTGCATTTTAAGTGACACTGTCACCTACTTTCAAGCCCAAAGGAGAGATGGAAAAAAAATTTCTAAATCAACTACACCTTGGTCCAATGCTTTTTAAGGAAGAAGGGAGAAGCTCAGGGGAGGCTTAAGAATTTTTTTCTGCAGACCTACAACTTCAGTCAGTAACACTGTGTTAATTCAAGAGAACTGAAAAGCAAAATTGGTTGTAACAGAATGAGCAATCTGCCAGTTTATTTCTAAGCTGCATTAATTAGAAAACAAAAAGTGAAAATCAGTATGATGAATGATGCAAAACAAATTGGAAACAAAATTCTACCATCCCTCTTATCAGTTTTAAGGATATAGGATCTCAAGATTTGTTCCGGACTTAAAAAAATCCTCTTTCTCAGCCCCCTAACCCAATCCAAACCCCAAATGCATTCAGTTTTAATACACTAAGGTGCTAAGAAAAATCAGTCTCTAAAAATAACAAGCCATATGTTTACAGTGTCCCTTTAACACCATAGTCTTGATATGATTTTTGTAAATAAATAACAAAACAGAAACACAATATTTTCTTTTTGGGGACGTTTTTTGTTGGATTTGTTGTTCTTGGGGTTTTTTTCAGTGTCATGCTATTTGAAGTTTCCTTGGCAATAAGCCAGTCCAAAGATTACTCAAAAAAGAGAATAGCAACTGACTTGTGAATCATTAAATAACTCCAATCCCTACTCCATTGCCGGAATTTTCCCTCCCCACTCCCATTTTAATATTCATCTTGCTATGCCAGGTATTGAGTGTACTGCAGGACTTTAAAAAGAAATTAAATAAAGTTGAAAGTATCTATTTCAAATTTCAACAAGTGACTTCCTTTTTTAAAAGCATTGTTACTGCAATGGAACAGTTTCCTGTTTAGTCTTTGTTTTAGTTAAACATTTTACTTGGGCTGTGGAAATGGAGCTTGAGTATTTTACCCAATGGTTACCCAATGGCTAATGGACAACTTGAATAAGAAATATACAATTTGAACTGACCGTTTAAAGAGATGATTTGTCACACATGATTTGCATCCATGCAGACTGAAAGCTTTATAATTACATTATGTAAAAAAAAAAAAAAGTTTTTTTAGATTATTAAGGCAACCACAACTTAGAGAACATGTCCAAAGTGGCATTAATACAATTGCAGTGGTGATACCCTTTGAATATTTTTATTTTCAGATAAGAACACTTATTCCTTTTCATTTTTAAGAAATAATTGCCAAGAAAGAATCTATTTTCCATAGGATTTTGTTCTACAGTTTTTTTAAAACAATCTACTTTATCTATTTTCTTTAAAAGAACATATCAAGGCATTGCTACCCAATGCAAATTAGTTGGATCCTGGGTTTCCCATCAGTTTCACTGGGAATTGCAGGTGGTAAGAACTGGTAGGTTTGGGTTCTGTCTTTTTACTCTATTTTTTCTGTCCTATTTTTTTTCTTTTATCTTTTTTATACATTTTTGGTGATTTTGCCCATGTTTACTGTAACCCTATTCCCCAGAACTGTCTTACTGTTCTCTGTTCATATGTAATGGCCCATCTTCGCGAACGAAGATTTGGGGAAAGGTCTTTTTACCTTTCAAGCCTGCGCAATGGATTTTTTAGGTGAGACACAGCCTGCGCTGAACTGAGCCCACCCTTTAATCCTAAGGTTCATCTGCCGGGGCCAAGCAAGCTTGGACAATGGCAGTGAGGTCCTCAGGACGTAGGTTTGTTTAGAGTGACCTTCTCATAGATGGATGGCCTCACAGGGCTAACGACCTCCATCTAGCCGGGAGACCGGGGAATCGAACCCGGGGTCGCAGCAGTGAGAGTCCTGCATGCTAACCACTAGGCCACCAGGGGTCTCGTTCATATGTAACAAGCATCAAAAAAACTTGGTTGATGGATGACCCTTTTTTCACATGCCATTGCCAAGTTGCTTCATAAAGATGTGCTATCATAACTGAATATCCATGTATAGTTTATGTTAAATGCTGTGGCATTCCGTCGTTCCTTGGGATAGCACTTGAAATGAGCATGCATGCATGTAAGGTTCTATTTTTCTATTGCCTATATTGCAGCTAGTTGTAACTAGGTAAGTAAATGAGAAAAAAATATATAGTTCTAGCAGAAGTCAGACATTTTGGGTTCTGTTGCTCCAAAGCCTAGTAGGTATATAAAACTGGGGAAAAAAAAAATCAAACAGATTATAACCAAGATCACAGTTGAGAAAATTACACAACTTTTTTTGTTGGTTTTTTTTGTTTGTTTCTTTTTTTCTCTTTTTTACAGTGATTTCTATTATGGTAAGGTTAGTCTTAGCTTCACCTGGCCGGCCAAATAGAATCAGAGTTGAGCATGCAGCCCTAGTGACAACATTCGGCTCTTTGCAAGGATGACTTCCTGCCTCCAGGTATGAGAACAGCAATGCTGAGATTCTTATTAGTTTTGGAAACTCTGCAAAGTAGATGCTTTCCCCAATTTTGACACATACACCTAGCCCCCCCTTACCCCCCACCTTTCCCACACCCTTCCCCGCTCTTTCCTGGGGGGACTGGGGCCAAATGCAAACCCTGGTTGGCACAGCTCTCTTTCATGGGTTCTGACTGCCAAGGGGATGAGTCTGGTGCTGCTGCGGGGGTGAAGCGGACCACACATCTCCAGTCCCTCAGTCCTGGCGTACCCCGCTACCGGCACCCGACATCCAACAAGGTGCACTAGCCTTAGGAAAGGCCTTCGCTTTCGCTCCCTCTGCCTTTCTGGTGCCGCTTCACTTTCATGTCCTCCTCTTCCTCCTATGAGGACTTGCTTTTTCTTTTCCAGAGCATCTGGGGTGGAGGGAAAGGGGGCGGAGGAAGGGGAGGAGGGAGAGGAGGTATCGGGAGTGGCATCTCTCGAGCCATATGTATGACAGCCTCAATGGTGGCCATGATTGTATCTTGAGTGGCTGCTGGCTCTATTATTAAAGGGTTGAGTGTCGGTCTCTGACCTCTTTTGCTGGGACGGTTAATGCATTTTTCCAGAATGGGCATTTGGTCTTTGGAGTCTTCATCAAAGGAAAGGGGTTCCTTCCGAGGACGCCCCCTCCGCTTCTTGATGAAGTTATTGCCTGTCTTTGATTGTCTCTGCAGCCGCTTGGCTTTCAGGATCTTGTTCACATGATCCAGGTTCTTCTTCGTGGACAGGATCTTGGTGTAGTTGCACATCTTGTGCACCTCGCACTGGATTGCTTCAATTTCATGGCCCTTGAACCGTTTTTTCAGTGGTGAGCTGGCTGTTGGGAGACAAGGAGAGAAACATGTGTAGGTCAAACAACAGTGAGTGGAAACTCCTTTGCCTTCTTTCAGCAACATGAAGACTAGATGCTTTCAAGTCCAATAGGCTGAATATGACTACTGAAAAAGAGATGGTTGTGAGAAAGGATTCTGCATAGAAAAACAACTAAAAAAATTTAAAATATTATTACAGTCCCAGAAGAATTGCTGTTGCTGTAAGAGACTTAAAGATCACAATTGCCTCAAACACTGTCAAGGCCACAAAAGGAACTTGCCACAAGATAAGCCACCATAGTGGGAACTTGAGATAAGCACAGATGGCAGAAATTTACAACAGGAAGGCACTAATTCCAGACCTAGCGGAGATGAGGTTTGGTTAGCACATCCTGGTTCATACATCCCGACAAAAATTCCCACTGTGACAGACTGTAGAAAAGGAAGCAACTGCTTATACACATGCCATCCCAAGTTATGGGAACATCTGCAACCACCCCATGGATACCCAGAACTTGGACTGTACAGAAGAACAACTCTGGGACCCCCACCACTGAAAAGACCAGAGTGAAGAATGATCAATGGAACACCACTGGATCCACGGGTGGTGTCTATCTTCTGCTTGATCTCTCTCTCTCCACCCCCATCCTTTTCTATTTCTTTCTATCTCTCTACTTCATAATTATTGTTAAATGAAATCCGTACTACTGACTTCAGCATATGGTCTTGTTTGCACCTTAATTCAGGTAGAGGCATCTCTCAATAATTGGATCTGTAGGAGTAGTGCTTTTCGGAAGAATTTGTAATGGGAAAGCTAGGAACTCGGTTTTTGCTAGGAAGGCTTTCTGCCTAAAAGGTAACTCTTTCTCAAAGGAAGTTTCAATGCTTTCTTCCCCTCCCGCATAGCAAGACAAGTTCTCAGCCTCTCTCTGATATGTGAGAGGAGAGAGATAAGGTACAGAAATGCTACAGGGCCGTTGTGGCCTGGGGAGAGTCGGGGGGGAGGGGCAGTGATGATAAAGCCAGGGAGCGAACAGTACTGCCTGGAGTGCCGAGAGTTTTAATGTCTGCCTTTCCACTGCCTTGGCATTCTTGGGAAGAATACCTGCGTATATTTACCTTACAGGATCTTAGCAGTTGCCTCCTTTTTTACTGTGCTAGGTGAAAACGCAACTTCAACTACTGTCAGAGACTGAAACAGTGTCATAGGTTTGAAAAGAGATGTTGGAATTTTTTCTTAATGTCCGCCCCCCCATCTGTTTCTTCCGGGATGGGGGGGGAACAGAGCGAAGCCGCACGCGCTGGGCAGCACAGGAACGGGGGTAGAGGGAGGTTCCAGGGAAGCGGGGTTGCCACAGGGATGGCTGGGGAGCCTTTTGTTCGGAGGTTTTTGGGTTTGGTCCGCCGACTGGACAGAGCGGGGAGCCCGGTTTCGGCCGCCTCCTTTTCTTTTCCTGAGAGGAAGTTTTTTCCCCATGGGACACCTCGCAGAGGACGATTGAGAGAGAGAGAGACCGACCCATCTCAGAGCGAGGTATCCTGCTTTCGAGACTACCTGTGGAAAAGGACTTTTTCATTGCTGACCGCTGCGGGCACACGTGGCTGCGAGCAGTTGTTGAACTGCCGGGACAGTCCTGCCTTCCCCCCTCCTTCCCCCCGCCCCGAGTTGCCGCCGGTTTCTTCTCCCCCGCCCCCCCCCATCCCCCCGGGGAATTGGGACTTGGTTTTGTTTCTTCTGAAAGTTTTTGATTGCACCATTTCTTGTTTATTCAGATTTTGTTAATAAAAAGCTGTTCTTTTCCACACTTCCACCTGAAGTTTCTTAATTTCTAAGTAGTAATTTTGTTAAACTAAGACAAACAGTTAATGACTTACACATTCTAAGATCACCACAAAATGAAAAGAAGCAACTGCTCACCCAGCAAAACCCATGCCCCACCCCCAATACTGCTAAAGGATCAGATAAATGGGTGTCATTGTCCAGCTATCCTGGGTGCAGATGCCTGCCTGAGGAAGGGAAAAGGCTAAGAAGAGGGAAGTCCTGAAAGGTGGGAAAATCCCTTTTATCATGCCAATGTCCTCCCTTTACATGATAACTTTGCGCATCTAGCCTGGGTTATACATCTCAAATGTTGGACCATGATGGACCATGATGGATGCTGGCACAATAGGCAGCTGCAACTGTCTTTGGAGATGTCGGAGGCCACCCCCAGGGAGGTACAAGGCATTCCCACCTGAGCTGGAAGTGTATAATAACTCATATAACATTCTTTGCGTTTTGTGAGGGGTTTCCCCCAGCCCCAACAGATCAAGACCACCATTAGACCAACCATTAGACATGGAAACCGCAACTACCAAGTTTCATCGCTGGACCCAGTGGGTGGTGACCATTAACATCTTTCCACCCTTATCCTTTCTTTCCCTTTCTCTCTCATGCATTTCCTTAAGTGTTACCTTTATGCTTTAACAATGCTTTATTGCCATAGATGCTTTAATACTGCTATACTTTAATAGTGCTATATTGCTATGCTTTAATATTGCTGTATTGCTATAGAATGATAACACCCAAAACGGCAACATACCTGTTTACCTTTGAAACAAAATTGTTCTAAAATAAACCCTACATATATATGTTTACAAACACCAATTATTCAGTGTTGTTTCACTCTAATCCACCCCAAGGGATTTATTAATAAGAATCTGGGTGACCCTCCCCTTCTGGGGTGGGTTGTAACAACTACTAAGCAGTCTTCAGAGATTTCTCTCCATCTTTCCCCTCTTCTAAAGCAACAAAGCTTTTCAACAGCAATGTTTTACCACAGGTTTGCTTCATTCTCATTTCTAAACTTCTAGTGGGAGGGAAGGAAGCTTAGCATAGCTGTCTTATTGGCCCACCGTAACTATTAAACTTTCTATACCCCAAGCATATAGTCCTGATGTCTTCACCCCAGCCTTTAATTCTTGCCATGGATGCCAGTTAGTATGAAAAGTGTTTGTTACTGAAGCTAGTGGGCATAGACAAGCTGTGTGGGTCACTTAATCTGTGGCAAATTCATTACACCTGTGTATGAGAAATAAAATAATCCAGTTTTATTATAAGTAAATTTATTTAAGTGGGAAACAGGGGGTGTTGGGATTTTTTTCTTACCTCCCATTTAATTTCGGGAATATTTAGGCGTCTCACGAAGATTGTAAGGTGAAAGGTACCGTCAGGGCTGCACACCCAGGGAATATTGCGGTCGAGGTAGGATACAATATATAAATGGAAAATTTACACCGGTCACATGTCTTTGTGTGCAAAAGAACCCCCACTGTGCGGTACAGGGGGGTACGTCATCAATCAATCAGGCCGTACAGGGGGACCCCCTGTACAGTACAGGGGGGTACGTCATCAATCAATCAGGCCGTACAGGGGGACCCCCTGTACAGTACGGGGGGTACGTCATCAACCAATCAAGTGGGACCAATCAGGTGGAACCAATCAGGCGGGAGGGTGACACCCACCCGCCGGTTTGAAAATTACCCTTTAAGGTAAAATACCTGTTACCTGCTGAATATTCAACATATTGGGTGGTCGAAGAGTACAAAAGGAGCGTGCTTTTCGAGGGGGGTATGCTTTTCCAGGCGGGTGGCTTGGGACTGCACCCAGCGCTGCAAATAAAGGATTCTTTTCTGTAAGTTTCCTTGTCCTGCAAGTGGTTTTTACCATTTTATAAATTGGGAAAAGAGATTTTTCTCACAAATTTGGGGGCTCGTCCGGGATCCAACGCCCGGCAGCCCTGGGCTGGGGGGCCAACATTCAGGAAGACGCCCGCCCCACCCAGCTTGGCGGTCCGAGGACGGGACCCCCTGGTTCAGGGCGGTTGCGGAAAAGGACCTAGGAAACACGGTTGCAGAACAAGGAAAGCAGAAGAGCCGGCCGGCATATAGGATTTAAAAAGACCGCGGCGACACACGAGCCACAGGAACCCGGTAAGGGAATCATTTAAGCCTAAGGGGGTGGATTGGGGTCCCTTGGAGGGGCAAGTTGGGGTCCCTTGGGGGACATGTTGGGGTCCCTTGGGGGGGGCAAATTGGGTTTCGGGAGAGTGCGTGAGAGTGACTGAGACGCGCCTAAAGGTGCGAAGCGAGAGGGAGTCTTTCTAACTGCGTTTCCACGTCTCTCGCGAGAGGACTGGCCAGTGAAGAGACGAAGCGATTGGTGAGACGTAAGACTGAGAACTCCCGGGGAAGAGAACACGGGGGGAATAAAAATTGAAAAGGATTAGTCTGGGGTAACTTGTAGTAGGGATTTGATACGTTTTCAGCAGGACCGCAACAGGGAAAAATAAGTGTTGTGTGTGTCCCCAGTGGGGGCCGGGGCAGTGATATTGTTGATGCCTTTGTGTAAAGGGGTACCTGCGTGCTCTGGAGGAGCGGGGGCAGAGGTGCACTCCGGCAGGGAGCGGGACGGTGAGCTGCGGTGTACTGTGTGTGTCCCCGGTGGGGCCGGGGACGTGAAACTGTTGCTACCTTTGTTTAGAGGGTGCCAGGTGCTCCGGAGGAGCAGGGGTGGCAGCGTGCTACGGCAAGGAGCGGAGCAGTGTGCTGTGTGTGTCTCCGGTGGGACCGGGGCAGTGACACTGTTACTGCCTTTGTTTAAAGGGGTGGCCACGTGCTCCGGAGGAGTAGGGGTGGCAGCGCACTCCGGCAGGGAGCGGAGCAGTGTGCTGTGTGTGTCCTGGTGGGGCAGAGGCAGTGAAACGGTTGCTATCCTTGTTTAAAGGGGTCTTCCCCCGGCCAGCCCCTGGGTGGGGTCTTTCCGCAGGGGTCTTCCCTCGGTCAGCCCCTGGGCGGGGACTTCCCGCAGGGGTCTTCCCTCGACCAGCCCCTGGGCGTGGTTTTCCTGCAGGGGTCTTCCCCCGACCAGCCCCTGGGCGGGATCTTTCCGCAGGGGTCTTCCCTTGGCCAGCCCCTGGACGGGGTCTTCCCCCGGCCAGCCCCTGGGCGGGGTTTTACCGCAGGG